AGATATCTCGATACCAGAATTCCCGGGTATCATTCCCAGTGGAAGCGGCTATACCGGACCGCGGCCGACATCAATCTCGCATCCTCACCTCAGACTCGAGAAGACGATGACATCAGTGCCAAAGGTTCTTCCAGGTGACACCGTGTTTTGGCACTGTGATATGGTCCATTCTGTCGAAATCGAACATACCGGAAAGGATGATTCTTGTGGTGCGCATTTCCCCCTGTGCAGTGTGACCTTGCTCATATTTATATTCACTGTGATACAGTTATGTACATCCCCTCGGTGCCTCTCACACCAATGAACAAAGCGTACATCGAGAGGCAGAGAGACAGCTTTTTGAAAGGGATTAGGCCCCCCGATTTCCCTCCTGCTTCAAAGGATGAGCACGATTTTGTTGGCATAGGTTTGGCTACAGATATACTGGAAATTGCGGGACGAAGAGCGATGTTGTTGCCCGTATCCGCAGCGTGATTGGAATAGATAATAAGGCGTCAATTGCATAAGAGAATTTACCGCTAAAACAGAACTTGCATTATGTATGCTACTTAGATGTTTTTTTTGTGCTGCTTTAAGAATGTTATTTACATGTGGTGAGCCTGAATGTTATGTAAATGTTCCCGTAAATGATACTCATAGCTAGCATTGGGCCCGCGCAAATAACATACGTTCGATCATTTTCAGATAGAAACACGCCATATTAACCTCACGACGTTCGGAAAGCACAGGTGTAAAATAAGAACGTCAATTTTAGGTCAGTAATAGTAGGAGGGAAAGAAAAAGTATGCATTGTTTCTGTCCCAAGGCTAACCTTAACGAGCCACAATTCTACTTTTGAATGGCAGTAGAAGTCTTCGCTAAAAATCAGGGCCTACGGTTACACCCAAGAAAGGGTAATGTACTACCTGATAGGACAATAAGAGAAAAGAAAAGATGGATTTCGTCCATGTGATGGTCTACGTCAAATGCTGAGTTATTGCATGCCCCAATAAACATGCCGGCAAGGTTGGGCGTGGTCGACCACTCGTCAAGCCTATTAAAGGCGTCAATGAATATATGACAGAACTAGTAGTCGAGGACAAAGGAAGGACGGCAGTTCTTTGAGATTTGAGCCCGAGTTATAGGCTCAACCAAGCCTCCAAGAAGTATATGCGCCACGGGGTTGGATATCAAAGGAAAGACAATATCATACGACCAAGCTATACTTATCTTTGTGTGTAAATGAGATACCATAGAAGGAAATCTCGTTGGCCTGGTGGATCATTGGGAACGTATCATATGTAACGATTCAGAAGCCGAGGATTTGGGGTACGTAGATAGTCAGTACTTCAGTAGTGGTGCCGATCGCGGAGAAGATCTGAAGCGGATGGAGGCACCTAAAAGCCAATCCACGAACACCAAGTAAGTACTTTGTTGACAGTAAACAGTATGTCAGACTTCGCCTTCCAACGCAGGCCTAGTGGTTAGAACTGGAAAATGCAGCACACTGTGTCCTATAAGAAGAGCAAAGCTCCCGGTACGGCATACAGACGATTTGTATGTGTGGCAATTCGATGACATATTCGTTGATTTGCACGAGTTGCAGGTCAGATATGACAAGAGAAAGAAGTTGTTGAACAATGTGCCGACTCCGGCTGACGCGTTCGCCGGTTCTGAAAAACACGAGAGCCGTCGTTGCGTTCTATCACTGTTTTTCTCGCACGGTCATTCTCCTTTGTTTGCATATTTAGACCTAAACCAGGCCGATCGTCGAGCAAAGACTGTTCAGATAACACATATCCAGCATTGCCAATGTCACTCGGGCCAACCGAGACATTATTAACACCAGTCTTTGGTAGGAGGTTAATGTTCATCGCCGGGACCTTGAAGTTGTAAACGACAAAAGTCGCATGACGTCGGGCCGTTGACTCAAATCTGCTTATGTCCGAAGCGCCCTTTTGTTCCGTTATTGATGCAATGCAGTTCACTCCAGGCCCCAATTTTTCGCTCGTCTCGGTATGGGAATGAAGCCTGATATTCTGGAAAGACCCTGTTGCTTCTTACTTGGTCCTCTTCTGTCACTTCCCTTTACATTCCGGACTATAAAGCTTGCGCTGCCCAAAGATCAGAGATGTATCAATTATGGAGCCCACTTCTCTGTTTATTGTCGCACTTCTTGTCATTGCTATCACTATTTTAATCTCCAGACGAAAACGTTCCGTGGTCAAACAGCTTCGAGGCCCTACACCGGACTCCTGGCTTCTTGGTGAGCCTTATCTTCGCTTGTAACGTCGCCTTGTTATTTAGATTCCCAAGGTAATGAACATGCAATTAAGCATCAAGACCAAGTCGGCGACTTGGACTTTGCTTGGTTTCGCGAATATGGATCAGCCTTCCGTGGAACTGCTTGCTACAGCGTGAGTATCTTCATATATGTCTTTGCAGCAAAGTAGCTAATTCTGGGTGCAGCAAGATCTGTTGGTCCTCGGCGATCCGAAAGGTTTACAACATGTCCTTCATGGCTCTGGATACCGTTATCCCAAAACTCCCGATTCAGATTATAACCTGAATATACTATTTGGGAAGGGAATTATCACAGTAGCTGGTGCAGTCCCGTCTCAAATCGTTGACGGAGCTTGTTACTCAATATGTGTCTGTTAGGATCTGTTCACCAACGTCACAGGAAAGTCATGAATCCTGCATTCTCTGCAGCACAACTTCGGACCTTTCTCAGTCTCTTTCAACAATCAGCGATGAAGGCGAGTCTATGTGATATCCCTTTCCTCTTGACCTACAGTCTAACGAGTCGCTTAGTTCTCTCGAAAGCTTACTGACATGGCCGAAGGTGGACAATCGAATATCAATATATCGCTATGGCTCGGAAAGTTGACTTTGGACATTATTGGCGAAAGTGAGCCCCCCCCTGAACTGAAAGATACCATTATTTAGTACTAACGACCACTAAAGGTGCTTTCGGCTATCAATATGGCGCCCTCGATGACGAGAATAATGAGCTCGCCAATACGCTGAACAATCTATTGTTCGTGGCAGTACCTGCCGTTTGACTTTCATTCTCCTTATTTCTTTCCAGCCACGACGCAGAAACATTTCCCTCTCGCGCTGGAATACTATTCTCGGCGTTACCTAGAATCTTGCCAAAGCCTCTCCTCCAACTCATAGATCTCATTCCTTCTCGGCAAAAGACGCATTTCTCAAGTTTCGAAGTCGCCGCGAAAAAGGTTGGACGGGAACTGCTCAAGGAGAACGCCGAGGGAACTGGCTTATATTCATCAACTGGTAAGGATGTCCTGAGTATCTTAGGTGAGATCGTGCCATTGGTTGCAAGCACTTGGGCTCATTGAATATAGCACGTGCGAATTCCGAGGAAGAAGGGAAGAAAAGGCTAAGCGACGATGAAGTCCTTGCCCAGATAACGTCAGTTCATCGTATTCCGTCTTGAAGTAATGTTATTGAGTCTTCATGGTGACAGCTCACTTACATTGGCAGGACACGAGACTACCGCATCTACGCTCACCTGGACCCTATTCGAACTGTGCAATCACCCCGAGCAGCAGGACCGTATCCGTGCAGAAATAGCGGAGGTCCGAAGCCAATATGCCACTAAAGGCGAACTCACTTCAGCAGATTACGATGGTATGCCGTTTATGAACGCTGTGATCAAGGTGCGCAACTTTGCCTTCGAGTCGTTTACTGGTTCATTGGTTTGGCGCGTGCAGGAAACTCTCCGATTCCATCCTATTGCTCCCGCCCTGCTGCGTATCGCTGCTCATGACGACGTCATCCCACTTACCGACGCAGTTACGACACGCACGGGAGCCAAGCTCACTGAAATCCCTGTGGAGAAGGGTCAGCTCGTCGAGATTGGAATCGCATACTACAACCGGTTAGTATAAGCCGACATAATGTTAGATGTGCGCTCACTCTAGGTCGCCACAGTAACCCAACTGTATGGGGTTCCGATGCTGATGCTTGGAATCCAGATCGATTCTTGGGTGAGATGGACAAGCAGACACCAGTTGGTGTTTATGCTAACCTGTAAGTTTCGTATTAATCGTCAAAACAAGTCTCATTTCCCCGCCTTTAGTCTGACCTTCAGTAAGTCAGCGCTTTGACTATAAAGGTAGTTCACTCAATAGTTCCTCTCCTGTAAGGCGCTGGAGTCCGCTCTTGTATCGGTTGGCGTTTCGCGTGAGTATTCTTCCTTCTTGCCCATCATGTAGGCTCATGGTGTGTTGCAGTGTTATGGAGTTACAGGTTATCCTGTTTGAGCTCCTCGAGTCGTTCAAGTTCGCTTTCCCCAAGGAAGGCATCGACATCAAACGACAGCATGCCGGGATTATGATCCCCATGGTGCGAGACGAAATGTCTAAAGGTACTCAGATGCCAATGCATCTGATTCCAAGTCCCATCCAGTATTGAGGATATTAGTCTACTGTTTTCAAGTTGTACATGTACCATGATGAACATTTTATATTTTTCGTCCTGAACGCTGCGCTTGATTACGGATTCCATCAGGTAATGGTCCTCGTCGTTCTCTAGCCCCATGACAATCATATCTTCCCACTCAATATTATGATGAACACACATATGCCTACGACATTGGCTTCACTAAGCACCCGTCCTTAGTATAAAATTGAGTCTTGAGAAAAAAAAATACAAAACGAGAACCGAGGTATTCAGTGTCCACAGCTACAGAGAAGGTCTATTAGACACCTAGCATGGAACTTATAAGTATATGTACACTGTACACACCTCTCAAACGCGGCATTTCAATACGCACTTTGAAAACAGTTACCAATATATTGGCGGTAAGACAAAGCATGTACAGTGGACTGGTGACTGGATTCTGTAACGCTAGCGGCTGGGACAAGGACTCAGGAGTCAAAACTCCAATCACTCCACTGCCAGGAGACTTGGCCCTGGAATGTCCACCAGTGTCCATTGTCGTGCGACTCGTGCCGAACGGCGAGAAAAAAAAATCAAATCCGGTTGAAAAAGAACTCTCTGACTGGGAGTCGAACCCAGCTTTCGCGCGTAAATCAAATGACAGGCGCGTGTACTAACCGATATACTATCAGAGACTTAAATACAAGTTGAATTCCAATGCCTGATACTTAATTAGTAAGGCTAAATCTGGAACTGTTACAGACGACGTCAACCGACCTTACGCCGGTACTAATACCATGCAATGGTCGACTCCAGGCCTCTGGACTCTGTTTCTATCTCTTGTCGTCCCAACTCTTTCTATATGGCCATTCTCGCCAAAACGATTTACGGGAAACTCGTTAGTAGGCGCTGGGTCGAGAGGCATCGTACTCGGTGAAAGGGCGATTGCCTTCGGAGACTTCAATGGGGACCAATTGTATGTCGTTGCATGGTTATTTTGTCGATATCCTGACCGTGAACGCAGCCTAGATGTTTTGATGCTCGACGAGGACCGACAGACGCTGATTGTGTACCTCTGGGACCACGGTGAGCGATAGAACCATGCTTGAAGACGAGCAGGGATGTGACACGTATGTTTCGCAGTGGACTTTGAGTTCAAGGAATCGGCATCGTTCAGACATCCAGTGGTGGTAGAGAACGTCGTCCCCGGCGACTTTACGCATTCGGGGAAGCTGGATTTGTTGGTTATGGGTCACAGCAGAACAGGCAGCACCATCGACATGGTACTGTACCCTGCATTGCCTGGCGGCGGATTCGGTTCGTACTGGATATATGCGCTATGGTTGCCTCTGACTTTACGTCAGATGTGGCCAGCCCAATTTCCTTGGCCTCCTCCAAAGCCCCTCAGCCGATACCTGTCGATTTGGATGGCGACATGAAGATTGACCTATTGGGAATAACGTCTGACTCTGACAAGCCATTGAAGGCGTGGCAAAATGTGTGGAATGCCTCGCAGGCTCACTCACCGTTGTTCGAAATGTGCGTTTAGCTTGTGTATGCTATTTTGTGCTTACAGTCTCGCAGCATTGACCCAGAATTCCATGGTACACAGTGTACCCTTGCTTCTCCTCATAGCAATGCAGTCGTGGACCTCAATGGGGATTGCCTGGCAGGTCCGTTTAGGTTTCTTACCGTTAACAACAACCTAACCGTTCACAGACGTCTTCCTCGTATGCGATGCCGGTGGAGGCAGACGGTCCTTCCAGATCTGGGTCAACGAGAAAGATGATGGATTCTATCTCGCACAGCAAGGTTCCCTTCCCTCTGGCGTCCAAGCCATCTCTTTTGCCGATATCGACCGCGACGGGACTATTGACATGATATTCCCCACCTGTTCATCTGTATCAACGTCCAGCGGTCTTGGAACCAATTGCTACATAAACCTCGCCTATAACAAGCAACTCCCTCTTTGCGCCTCGTCGACCCAACCTTCTGTTGTCAAAGGTGTTCGTAAATGTCGGTCTCCTGAGAACCTGTGCATCGCAGATGCAGACTTCAACTTCGACTTGAGAGACAGCAGCGATAATGATGCCTTTGCGCGGTTCCCTTTGTCTTCCCTCGACAGTGGTGCGCTCTTGGTCCTCGATACCTCGCTTTCGCCTGCGGTTCCCCTGCCTATCAAGCTAGGTGATGCCAACCTGGACGGGTTTCCTGATTTGCTACTTATAATCGACCATACGCCAAAGCTTGTGTTTTCAGTCCCGTGCGAGAAGGGTGTCACTGGTTGTGCTAAGGACGGCAGTGGAAAACGGGGCTGGCATGTGGAGAAGAAGGGCGCGGAAGTGTTAGATTCCATCAAGGATGCGCGAAGTGTATCCTTTGTAGATATGGATGAAGATGTAAGTTCATCCTCTATCTGTGCGAATCTGGTCGCTTACGTTGCTTCTAAAGGGCACCCTGGACGTTATGGTGCAGCGGTCTGGGTCGGAAAAAATATCGTTTGTACAGAACAACTTTTACTATGATGCATTCTTCCTCAAGGCCATCGGTACGTCCGCGTGATTGTCTTTCGATGAAGCTAATACGCACCCTAGTTTTGAATGGCGCATGCAATAACGGATGGTGTTACGGTCCGAACGGAACCCAATATCATGTATGTGTACCCTTCAATAGTGTAATGACCCTGCCTAACTTTCCCTCCAGCCATTCGGTGTAAGCTACTCGGGAGCTTCATACAAGTACACCATCCTGGACACTTCTGGTCGTCGTTCAGCAGCGCAAAGTATGGCTTCCCTTCCTCGCCCTTTCCTTACTAATCCTCCTTCATATAGTTGGTCAGCTCCCCCAAACATCCTACCATGCCCTCCAATCGCCCTATTCTTTCTTCGGCTTGGGTCGGACGAACAACTACATTGAAAACCTCTTCGTTGGGAGCACCATGCACGTGGATGAGCATTACATCAACATCGAAGGCGTCATACCGAACTCAAAGGTAGTCATATTACCTGGACCGGACGGAGCGGCATGGAAGAGGCAGCTCTTTCTGAGGCCGGGCCAGTGGATCCCGTGGGTGACGGTTACGGTTGTGGTGGGAACCATCTTGTTGGCCGTCATTGTGCTGGTGCTGCATTTGAATGAAAAGGTGCGTTTCTCGTTTTTGGGTTGGAGTATCTCTCATTTCTTTTGATATAAAGAGAGAGGACGAGTTAGAGAGACGCAGGGCGTCGCATCATATCAACTTCGATGCGCTGTAGGATTTTGGATTCATTTGGCATTATAATTGTACAGTACATTTACGTTATTATCTTTCGATGGTTACTTCTTCCTTCTTCGGATCTCAACGGGAGCTACAGAGTCCGCGCTAGTATCAACCTTCACGGGGTCCTCATATTTTGGCTATGTTAGAGGGAGGAGTGGGGACTCAAGAATGCTGATGTCCTCACATCTAGATGATGCCACAATAAGAGCTGATCCTGCCGTTCATCCACGATCTTATTACGCTTTCTCAGTTTGTTGCTCTGCATCACAGGTACCGCCCTGACTATTAGCTATCAGTGGTGTCATGGATTCATTACTCAACGATGAAGCCAAGAATAAAATTCCTTATGAATCTTATATTTTCTCTATTCCTTTCTCGAAAACGGAAGGGTAGCTCTACTTGTCACTCGGTGCTCTTCTCCGCTTCTTACTACCCCCACGCCCAATGACTCGAAGCAACACAATATCACCGCGACCATCCGAATAACGAAAATCACGTCTAGCACAGCCTCTCTTCCTAATGAGCCCAGCTAACCGACTATGGTCAACCTTCCCGTACCATCGTTCGAGTCTAAACTCTATAAAGGCGGCCGTAACTGGCCTTAAAACTTGATCAACCCCAGCGAAGGAGAATTACCAGTGCTCTGGGTTGACCCGGATGATCGGTAGGTGTTACTCACAGCGACATCGAACCCGACGCTTTGGTACCAAGTTGAGCAACTCAATATCTCAACCCTCACCGTCGTATCGCAATCGCATCCTTCGACATTACCTCCAGTGCTCGTTTCCATAAAAGTTCGTAATGCCTAGAGGCGAACACATGCTGTTATCCCAATCATATCTATGCCGGAAATTTGCGAACGGGTTCACACCGCACAAAACTTGATAAAAGGGAGACGGCAAACAAAACACTCCTGCAGTCATTGCCCCCCATCGATATGGTGCCCCCAGCATCTGCTAATACTCCTTCAGAGCCTGAAAAGTCTCCTGAATCGAGCTCTGCGAGCAATAGACCCATGTCGGCGACAACTTTATCGCCCGTGCGATTCGCTCCTGGTGCCCATGACCTAGAGAGCTCGCTGCCGAAGGTTGACACGCCAGTTGACGATCCGTTTGGGCTGAGAGCTGCTTTGCGAGACCCGGACGAAGTGGCTGCTCTGTGTAAGCGATGGAACCTGCGTAAACAACGTCACATTGGGAGGTTTTACGAGACCCAGAACGAGAAGATTGATGCATTGTTGAAGGTTTGTTCAATTGGTTGGTCATGGGAGTGTCTTGTACGATGATTGTTTCTTCTCTCGTATAGAGTATGGAGAGTCACGCTCAGGATGGAGAAGATGACACGAGGGATAGCGCTTTGAAGGTGTGCACTATATCCGAGTCACATGTACTCCAGGAGGTCATGATTGAGTGACTGCAGGTCAAAATCGCTATATACGCTTCGTTCATTGCGAACTTCACGTTATCTATCCTGCAGCTCTATGCTGCTATATCGTCTCTCTCTCTGTCTTTTTTCGTTAGTGAGTTCAAGGATGTTCGGAATCTGCATGTAACGTTTACTGACGTCTGTATAGCTGCTGCAGATTCAGTCTCTGATCCCCTCGCGAACATACTCTTGAACCTGCTTCATCGCAAGTCGAAGCGCGTGGACTTTAATAAATATCCCGGTGTATGTCGAGGCGAGTCATTTGCTGATATACTCATTTACTCCATCAGGGTGGTGCTCGTCTAACTACGATCGGAAATATCGTGTATTCGTCCGCCATGCTTTCTGTCAGCGTCATCCTCGTAGTACGTCTGGTGCCTGAGTACCTCAGCATGTTTTGGGTCACTGACAGGGATATTGAAACCAGGCTTTCTCGGCCCAAGACCTAGCCAACCATAAGGGTGGAGAAACCCTGGAATTTCACGTTCCCTCAGTTATTGCTGTCGGCATCGCTTTTGGTGAGGGGACCATTTCGTTTTCTTGCAAGTGTTTAGTTAACACGCACCTATATCCTTAGTCACGAAAGTTCTCCTCTTTTTGTACTGTTTCTCTATCCGAAACTCGAGCTCGCAAGTTCAGGTTCTTTGGCAGGATCATCGGAATGATCTCTTGATCAAGTATGTCAGCTTGGTTGCGAGTAGCCAATACTTATTACTAAAATCCTGTTGGTAGTGGATTTGGTCTCTTTACCAGCAGCGCCGGTGCCAAACTCAGGTGGTGGATCGATCCCGTGGGCGCTATCATTATCTCATGCGTCATTATCATTTCGTGGTCATACACATCGTATAGTGCGTTTTCCTGCACGCCATCGCCTCTCTTAAGCTCACGTGTTTCACCAGTACAATTCGGCTACCTTGCTGGCAAAGCTGCTCCCCATGAATTTACACAGTTAATCATATACAAGACGCTCACGTTCAGTGACGAAATTAAGCAGATTGACTCGTGCAGGGC